GTGCTCGTGTTCAACCAGAGCCCATGGATGGAGCCCTACATCAGAATGAACACAGACCTCCGAAAGCTTGCTACCAGTGACTTTGAGAAAAACCTCTACAAGCTCATGAACAACTCGGTGTTCGGTAAGACTATGGAGAACCTGAGGAAACGCGTGACCGTGAAGCTGGTTCGGTCGAATGAGGAAGACAAGCTCAGGAGACTGATAGCCAGTCCGGCATTCAACCGTAGCAAGATATTCACCAATAACCTAGTTGGCCTACACATGAAGAAAAGCCACATAAAATTCAACCGGCCTGTTTACGTGGGGATGAGCATCCTCGATTTATCCAAACACCTGATGTACGACTTTTACTACAACGAGCTTAAGAAACAGTACGACGACAGGTGTGAAGTTCTGTACACTGACACGGATTCCCTGCTGATGGAGATTCGAACCGAAGACGTGTACGTTGACATGAAAAAACACCTCGATTTGTACGACACCAGCGACTACCCTAAGGACCATGCCATACACAGTACGGTAAATAAAAAGGTCCTAGGTAAGATGAAGGACGAGTGTGCTGGCACGCCCATAGCCGAGTACATAGGTTTGAGGCCTAAGATGTATTCCATACTGAAGGCCGATAATGGGGAGATCCGGAAGGCTAAGGGTGTTAAGAAGTACGTGGTTAAACAACACATCAAACACGCCAGATTTAAGGAAGCCCTGTTCAAGACCCGTACCTTTAGGCATAAAATGAACACGCTTAGAAGTGATGGGCATAAGATATACGGACTGACTATAAACAAGACGTCCCTGTCGCCTATGGACACTAAACGTTGGATAGCTATTGATGGGATAAACACGTACGCGTACGGGCATGAGAAAATTGAACCAAGAACATAGATATAAATATCGGGACGACATGTCACGGAACCAAAGAAAGTTTGAGGCTATTTACTATAGCCCGCGTGGGTACTGGAAAGGAGCTAGTGCTGTAGATAAGCTAGCTAAAATGGCGCGGTACCCCCGGAGGAGGCCAAAGCGTGGCTTGAAAAACAAGCCCTGTGGCAGATCTATTTACCGGCACCACGCTACGTGCCTAGAAGGAGGTTTGGTATTAACATACCTAATAGCGTTCACCAGGCAGACCTACTGTTCCTACCCCACGACAAGAGGTACAAGTATGCCTTAACCGTAGTGGACGTAGCCAGTCGCTACAAGGAAGCCGAACCCTTGACCACGAAAGATTCAGCCCAGGTAGCCAGAGGATTCGAACGCATATACAAACGCAGTCCGCTGACATGGCCAACAGAGCTGCAAGTTGACCCCCGGGCGGGAGTTCATGGGTGCCGTGTCACAACTGCTAGCCAAACACGATACAAAGGTCAGGCGTGGTACGGCCGGAGCCCATCGCAGCCAAGCCATAGTTGAGAGATTTAATAGGACTTTGGCTGAGCGCTTATTCGGACATCAGTATGCGAGGGAGATGGCCACCCCGGGGAAGCGATCGACTGAATGGATCACAAGGTTACCCAAGGTGGTGTCGGCAATCAACCATGAAGCCACCCGTCTCACCGGCAAGAAACCGGCAGACGCTATCAAACTAAAATCAATAGTTGCAGAGCCGGCTGCTCCATTGCGTGGGAAGGAGAAACAGATACCAGATAGGGTCCTAGTTAGGTATCTATACCAGCCGGGGGAACACGAGGGTGATAGCCGTAAGCGAGCCACCGATCCTATATGGTCAGTCAAAACGTACAACATAGATAAAGTGGACATCAAAGCAGATGAGCCTAACTTGTACTACTTGAGGGATGGGCCGGGTAGAGGGTTTGTAAGAGCGGAATTATTGATCGTACCGTACGGCACAGAGTTACCTCCTGTCAACACGGCATAGCGGTGCCCCAGGATACCAACACACTCCAGCCATACCCCTGGTGCGGCTAGGAGGTCCCGCTATCGTCCCAAACTTTTTCATAGTAGGGGTAATGGTAGCAAGAGCTAAGGGTCCGACCAAAGCCTTACTTGTGAAATAAGGCTTTGCAGAGGCTTTGGTTGAAAGTGATCCAGAACCCCCATTGTATATACTACTGAAACTGTTATGAACAGCAATAGCAAAATAAAAACGTTGGCACTGTTCCTAGCATAAGAACTGCCAACGCCAATGCATACAGTCTGTTTCCAGCTTCCCAAAGCCGTCGACGCAGCCATGGTCACAAAAAGGGACGAAGGCACAATGATGTAATTCATGTGGAAGGGCTATTGCCTCTCCTGCAGGAACCATTGGGGCTGCACAAAGAGAGAACAAGACTATAGGGCTTACCCTCATTCATTAAAAGAAAATTAGCAACTGTTGCTGATGCATATGGCTGGATCTACAAACAGCAAAGCCCACAGTATCGACTATTGAGTATATATACTGAGTCAAAAAAGAAACTTCACATTCTTTCTTCAGGGCACTATAAAATAACAAGAGATGGTAAGATGGTTAAATTGTTATTATTTCATTGCTGAGATCTGTGTGATGTACTCGATACACTGACAGTACCATAATCAGTTCCATTAGGCTACACCGCCGTTCCAAAACATAGGTATACAGAATGTCAAGTCACAAGAATAAAAATGCGAAATTTCTCAGTTCAATATCGTGTATGGCCGCCCCGCGCATTCACCACTGCCAAACACCGTCTCCTCATCGACTGCCTGATGCTTGTGAACACGTGGTTGGGGATTCTGCGCCATTGCTCTTGCAAGGCAGCGCCAAGTTCCTGCAAATTTTGAGGCTGGTTCCTAAGACCACGAAGCCTTCTCCCAAGTGCATCCCAAACGTGCTCTATTGGATGAACGTCCATGACGTTGATTCCAGCATTTTGAAGGAAATTTCGTGTCAACATCGCGGTATGCGGCCGAGCATTATCATGCTTGAACTGTAGACCTGGACCATGAGCCGCCATGAAAGGAACGAGTTCAGGGGTGAACACCTGGTCGCGGTAAGCAGCAGCTGTGAGGTTTCCACGGATGACCAGAAGTCGGGAACGGTTGTCCCACAGAAAGCAACCCACACCACGCAACTTCCGCCCCCGAATCTGCCGACTTCCTGTGCACAACATTGAGCATACCGTTCACGACGTCGTCTCCAGACTCTATGCCTGCCGTCTGCGAATCTGAGGGTAAACCTAGATTCATCGCTAAAGACGACTCGATTCCAGTCTCTCTGGGTCCATCGGAGGTGACGTTGGGCCCACAGCAGACGTTGCCGTTGATGAAACGGCGTCAATATTGGCCAACGATATGGATGTCGAGTATGGAGATTGGCAGCCCGCAACCGATTTCGAATGGTCTGTGAGGACAGTCGACCTCTAAACATCTCAGCCCTGGTTCGTGTAGCTAGCAGAAATCTGTCACGTAGGTGACGTAGGACGATTTGATGGTCTTCTGCTCGGGACGTCACACGTGGACGACCCGACCTTGGTTCGTTGTAGACGACGTCGCAAGTCATACACAGTACGACGGCTGCATCCCATTGCTCTTCCGACGTCAATAACTGATCTTCCCGCTTGCAACATGCCAACGGCACGTTCACGTTGCACATTTGACAATCGTGGCATTTCAAGTACCCTTAGAACTGTGGTTTAAAAGTGTTTTTTCAATTCTTTAGGCCAATGCAAACACGTGCATATGAAGAAAACTTCGATGCGAAGATCACGTGATCGACTGCAGGTGCAAAACCTGATTTGGCACTAACGTCATTTGCACACGGATGGGGTTGAGTGGGTTTTGCTAACGTTTTTCTAAAGTCGAAAGATAGGGATCCCATTTCGGATACATAGATGTATCATCAGAGAAAAATTATTCATTATGTTTCAAATTACATTTTGTGAAGTTTCTTTTTTGACTCAGTATAGTTCATGATATAGCGTCGAAACACTTGACGAAACCACAATGTGGCTCTCCTGACAGAGACCGCATGTTTCTGATTCTGAAAATGCAATTGATGCTACACTTTTAAGCAACATTCTTAGACAAAAATCAGTTGTCAAAGATGCCCCAAAGTATTACCGATTTCAGGAAATTCCATCAATATCATTTACCTATACGAATAATTTCATCCAGGTTGTTCAGTTATAGGAACGTACTGCAGAACGTGGACTTGGCAGATCACGTTGTGAATTCGAACTCAAGGTGTTACTACCAAGCTGCATTGTCGACAATAGAAACCTCCGTCAACGTTTTAAATATTGACCTAAATATCGTTAACAAAGATTCCAATTGGTAGGTACCAATTAGGACTACAAGTTCAAAATCTTTGTAAAAAAATATGCCAAAATGAGAAGAGGAACCTGTAAAATGTCTTTCAGAGTTGGTTAGGACAGTTTGTGATGTTGTCATTGGTAGAACTGAAAGAGAGGAAACATAATTGGAATAAACCCATTCTGTCCCAGCCACCTGTCATCTTATGTCTGGCTGCCCTGTATGAAAGTACCCGTGAAGATCCGAGTTAGAATTGGTCTTCAGCAACCCGTGCTTGTCGTGAGAGGCGACTAACGGGATCTAGCGGTGAGGATCGCTGGCTTCGTTGACACATATCATCGTATCTCAATTGCATAAATCGATGCTCATGTTTTAGTCACTGGATTGTCTGGTTCAGACTAGGTTATTTACAGACAGCCGTCTCACAGCTGGATTACTGCCGAGTGCGGCGATAAACAACCAACCACCCAACCAACCAGCCTGCATGAAAGTTATTCTGTAAAATAACGAGCCTGATCACCCGATTCTGACAAGCACGAGTTGGTGAAGACCAATTGTAACTCGGATTTTCACGGGTCATCTCATTGATAACATCTTCGTAAAATTTGGGGATGAAACATCTCGAGAAGAAACAGGCATCCCCATGGGCACAAATTGTGCTCCGTTGTTTCAGATCGTGCCAAATGGAATCTGATGTAGAAATCTTTCTGGATCAGCTACAAATAGTAACATTATGACAAGACACGTTTTGCCCGTTAGGATTTTAATGAGCATAAAAGATGCGTTGGAACCAAAGTTAAATGGAATAATGACATGTGCTCTTCTGGTTAAATGGCCATTGTGTTTCAATGTTTCTATATGTTACGAGCTTGAGTCCACAAGTGCCAGTCAACGTTTCCATTTTGTCCTTTTTCCAGAGGTTTACTGAGCCCTGGTTATTTTTACGACCTGTCTTAGCGACACAATCAAATTCATATACCGTTATGACGTTATATAAAAAACATTATTTCACTCTTCATAAGTATTTTTACGTGAGGTTCATAACCTACCAACCGTGGTATACGTAACAAGTGGGTGATAAAACATGGCGTTGTGCTAGTCACTGGTTGATACTCGATGGGAATGAACCATCTTAATTAGCAGGAATGATAGAACTATGTTACAAAACATATCACGGGAGTCAAAGGTAAGTTCAACTTGAATCATTAGAAAATCCAAATCAAGTATGGAACGAGTATAAATGTTTTGCATGCTGTACTTCTGATCAAACAGTTTCGACATTTACACATAATACACAAAGAAATACTACATGTATTGAAACTTCCATCTTGTCCTTGGTAACATTGTGCAGTCGTGCGTTAAACTTGGATCCAGGCATTACTCTTAAATATTCATCAGTTGGCATCGTTCAAGACCTGCGTTCGGAATGGGAGTGATAACTTGGACTTTCCTAACCCACATATAGGGGATCCCTACAAGGGAGGACAAATTCGTCAACTTCAGCTCCTTGCATGTCGTACATGGTCATTCGGGAGCGATATGTGTACCTCACTTTTTCTACACATGTAAATGTAAACGTCTTGTTGTAAGTGTTTGTAGATGGCTTCTCGTAGAGTAGCCTTCCTGGGCATTTAGCCACGTACTTTTCAGTCTTCGATATTAGATGGTAGGATCTCAGGGCATTATCGTCGTAATTAATCCACAGAAGCAGATCACCTGTAATCGAGAGTTGCTTCAGTTCACCCTGCACTTCGTACAAGATGGTGGGTGTGACAGGTTTAGATCCAGTGTATTCAGCGTAGGAAACTTTGGACTTACCCTTGTCATATGATGAAAGCCACACAATGACCTTGGTGACTGGGTCACCAGCGACATATTGTAAATCCCTCGGACAGTGACATTCATGTAAAGGTGCTATTAAAATAGGTTCGTCTCCTGCAATGTTCATTGACATCAGCTCAAACCTGTCTTTGACTTGCTGTATATAGTACAAAAAGTTGGTGTATCGGTCATAGTACATTCCACAAAATGCACCAGTGACTAACCGCCTTGGCTTAGAGCCATCTGTACAGAATAATTGTATCATGTTGACATCTGGGCCAGAATCTTCCTCATAATCTGCATCACTGTCGTGTTTGTAGGTAACGACGACACAATCTTCTGCATCAAAAGCTAGGAGACTAAAGTCTGAACGCTTGGAAAAATAGCCCAATGTGACAAACCTGCTTTTACTATTGTCATAAACACTGATTCTACGCGATTTAAAGTTTACGAACAACCTATCGCCATGAGCATTTTCTGCACCAGGTAAGGGACACTTACAACCACTGTTCAGTTTTGGCGCTCTCGTTTCAGTTTGGTCATCCAAGGTCCACTCTCTGGCAGAACAAGCGATTATCTGAGAACCTGAGTACCTAGTGCATCCCACGCGGTAGTCGGTGGAAGAGTGCCTGTGCTTGTAGAAACTCGGAGCTTTGTTTGGCTTGGTCGTCTTGGCAACTGTATCGTCGTTAAATACACTGCCTGAAACGTAACATATTGCTTTTAAATAACTGATTTGAGGTGAGTCTGTGAGTTGTAGAAGAACTATTAAATCAAATAAGAAAAAGAAGATCATATCATTCTGATATCATCTCACTTGCACATGTTTCACAAAATTCTTCTGGGAAATATGTGTGTTCAACAGTATCATCTACTAGTATATTGTATATTGTAGAGTGCATGTTCAATCGTGACGTGCCAGGTAAGCGACGTCACAATGACGACTTGGACTAGGCTTTTACCCGATGATAACTTGCTTTTGAGATTCTATCTAGAATATCTATCTAGATTCTAGCTACATTCTATCACATGCAACGACCAATTTGTATTTCAGATATTCCATATTATACAAAAAACTTTGGTAGAGTTCAGAGACGGTTGCATTACATTTTGAATGTACACTATCTGCGGGAAGTGATCACAAGCAGCCGATGTTATATTTGTGATTACACTTTATTAGTAAAGTACAGTTTTTCGCACATACCTACAATACATCAAATACCAAACTATAACTATTTTTATAATGTAGCATTGTGAAGACATATGAACATGTAGCTTGACTATTGCGACGTTAAGCAAAACACTGTCAAAACAAATATAAGAATATATAATAAAACATAGTATTAATGGTAATAAAAATAACGATTAAGAAAGCATTAATACCCAGTTCAATCTTCGACATCATGTAATGGAGCACGTTGTTAGCTAAAGACTTGTTTTCGGGAGCGTCCGACAATGGGATCTTCTTATCACTGAAACCTGAGTAAATTCCACAGTAGTCATTATTGCATGCACTAGCATTACCAAAAGTTTGGAATATTCAGAAAAAAGTGTCCCGATTATTGATATTATATATTTTTAATGAGATACATGTACATAATTCCACAGTGTAACAGTGACATCTGATAGAGATTTGCTTTAGTCATTGAACGTCAGGTGTCCATTTTGTGAAAATGCCCTACCTTCAATCTAGTCGTTTATCATGAAAAGTCAAACACATTAATATCTCGTCCATCCGCCTCTATTATCAAGACAATGTCTCCTGTGATGAAGTGTTCAGGCATATTCTGCTTGACTGTGTGGATTTTTCAAATGCGAGGAACTCTCATTTTGAGTAATAAATGAAAGATCTGTGTTCCAAAGTCTGGCTGCCCTACATGAAAGTACCCGTGAAGAAGTACCCGCGTTAGAATTGGTCTTCAGCAACATTTCACTGTAAACTATACTGAAAGCCATTAAAACGCAATTGGTATTTGTTGTCCTGAAACTTACAAAAGTTCTATTGAACATTTTTCCTGCGATACAGAGAATGTAAGGATAAAAGGCTGTTATTCTGACCCATTTCGAGTTCGAGTCCCGGAGCATTCCTCTCACATGAACTTTGATACTTAAAACTGAACCTTTGACATTTCATTTAAACACAACCGCATTCATGAAACACGTTGTGCACATGCATTACCTGCACCCAGGCCTTGTAAAAGTACAAGGAATTGTGGAACTCAATCACTTTGAGAAAATGCCACACTTGACACAAGACGAAAGGAATCAGGTTATCGGTATGCCAAGGTGCTTCAGATGTGATGATTGCCAGGCACTTTAATGTGCATCCATCCACTGTAAGTCGACTCGGACAACGTTTTCGGGCTACCGGAAGTGTTGCTGATCGTCCGCAACCTGGTGCACCACCTGTGATAACAGCTCGACAAAACCGCAATATCCGAGTTTCACACTAGCGAAATCGGTTCCAAACAGCTGATGATTAGGCAAGGAGGACAATTGGGACAAGTCAACGTCATTTCAGCGCCCAAAAGGTGCAAGGACGCCTTGCTGCCTTCAACATCCGGTGTCGTCACCTGTACCGTGGTCCAACCTTATTGTATCGCCACAGACTTTCCAGACAGCGATGGGCAGCAAATGGGGCCAATCTTGGCAACAGGACATGGCCAGATGTCATTTTTTCAGATGAATCCAGGTTTCACTTATCCATTGCAGATGGACGTCAACAGATTTATCGACCACATACCATCAGACCACCTCAGACCACATACCATCAGAGGCTGCAGACCATCCAACAGCTGTTCCTGAGAAATGTGTGTCTTTCAATGCCCCAAAGACTGCGAGCATGTCTTGCAGCGCAAGGTGGACACACACGATATTGACTGCAAGTGACCCCTCCTTTGTGTGATGTCGTTGTTGCGTCACTGATGTTGTTGTTGACTGGACATTTTCAGATGAAATTATTCACAGATGTTCACTTTAAACATATCTGCCAGTTAAGTTTATATATGATTAAATTAGTGTGAGTAAAGAAAGTATGAAAGTCAAATTGCATTTTTAATGGCTTTCAGTATACTTGAGAGAGATTGATCTGTATCTGAAATAGTACTTATGTAATGTGAATGACGGACTGCTTGTTTTGGAATTTGGTGCCATGACATTTTCTGTTTGTAAATAATAATGGTATTAATAAATATGTTTTATAAACGCATTTAAGCTTTGTACTTAAGTTGTGTTTGAATGAAGACTCGGTCTCGTTGCTATATGACTGAAATAATGCCGATGCGACGTTCAATTCAACTCTGAAGGCAATCCCAACTTCGACAAGTCATACTCGTGACCATACGTCCAATGTCAACGTGTGTCATTCTATCCCATTCCCCCTGCAGTGTTGTGCCGTGTTTCTTGGTCTGTGTATGAGGACGGTCATGTATACAAGCCTGGACAGAGTGACGACCACGTTAAGGTGGCTATACACTCTTGTTGAGGAACTCAGTAACAATACGAGCCCTGTGTGTTCTTGCGTTGTCATCTTAGTAAACGCTCGCAAATGGCACATGTGGGCCTCAATGGTTTTGCCATGGTACTACTGCCCAGTGTAAAGGTGTTCTGGCAGTCGAAGTGATCCCACTCACGCCATTACTGAGGCACCCGTAAAACGATGGTCCTGTCTGACGTTAACAGTACGAAAACACACATTTCGTCCTCATCCCACTTTGTTGTGTCTGTCCGTGAAGTCCAAAGTAAACTTTGTTTCATAAACAAAAATCAAACAACTTAATGTTTGTTTCCCCAACGACGACTTGCTGCAATGTGAGGGTCCGTCAATCGTGGGATAACACATGGATGTCGGTCACTAGAGACTTGCTATATGGACCCTCTGTTTAACCAATGATACCGTGGTGGTCACTAGAGACTTGCTATATGGCACCTCTTTTTAGCAAATGTAACGTGGTGGTCACTAGAGACTTGCTATATGACCCCTCTGTTAAGCCAATGATACCATGGTGGTCACTAAAGACTTGCTATATGTCCCCTCTGTTTAGCCAATGATACCGTGGTGGTCACTACAGGCTTGCTACATAGCCCCTCTGTTTAGCCAATGATACCGTGATGGTCACTAGAGGATTGCTCTATGGCCCCTATGTTTAACCAATGATATCGTTGTAGTCACCAGAGGCTTGCTATATGGCCCCTCTGTTTAGCCAGTGATACCGTGGTGTTCACTAGAGTCTTGCTATATGACCCCTCTGTTTACCCAAGGTTACCGTGGTGGTTACCAGAGACTTGCTATATGGCCCGTCTGTTTAGTAAATGATACCGCGGTTGTCATTAGAGGCTTGCTATATGGCCCCTCTGCTTAATCAATGATACCGTTGTGGTCACTTGAGGATTGCTACATGACCCCTCTTTTTAGCCAATGATACCGTGGTGGTCACTAGAGGATTGCTGTATGGGCCCTCTGTTTAGCCAATGATACCGTGGTGGTCACTACAGGCTTGCTACATAGCCCCTCTTTTTAGCCAATGATACCATGGTCACTAGAGGATTGCTCTATGGCCCCTATGTTTAACCAATGATATCGTTGTAGTCACCAGAGGCTTGCTATATGGCCCCTCTGTTTACCCGAGGTTACCGTGGTGGTTACCAGAGACTTGCTATATGGCCCGTCTGTTTAGCCAATGATACCGTGATGGTCACAAGAGACTTGCTATATTGCCCTTCTGCTTAGCCAGTGATACCGTGGTGGTCATAAGAGGCTTGCTATATGGCCCCTTTGCTTAGCCAATGATATCGTGATGGTCACAAGAGACTTTCTATATGGCCCCTAGGTTTAACCAATGACATTCTGGTAGTCACTAGTGGCTTGCTACATGGCCCCTCTTTTTAGCCAATGATACCGTGGTGGTCACTAGAGGATTGCTGTATGGGCCCTCTGTTTAACCAATGATATTGTGGTGGTCACTAGAGACTTGCTATATGGCCCCTCTGTTTAGCCAATGATACCGTTGTGGTCACTAGAGACTTGCTACATAGCCCCTCTGTTTAGCCAATGATACCGTGATGGTCACTAGAGGATTGCTCTATGGCCCCTATGTTTAACCAATGATATCGTTGTAGTCACTAGAGGCTTGCTATATCGCCCCTCTGTTTAGCCAGTGATACCGTGGTGTTCACTAGAGTCTTGCTATATGACCCCTCTGTTTACCCAAGGTTACCGTGGTGGTTACCAGAGACTTGCTATATTGCCCTTCTGCTTAGCCAGTGATACCGTGGTGGTCATAAGAGGCTTGCTATATGGCCCCTTTGCTTAGCCAATGATATCGTGATGGTCACAAGAGACCCCTAGGTTTAACCAATGACATTCTGGTAGTCACTAGTGGCTTGCTACATGGCCCGTCTTTTTAGCCAATGATACCGTGATGGTCACTAGAGGTTGCTCTATGGCCCCTCTGTTTAACCAATGATATCGTGGTAGTCACAAGAGGCTTGCTATATGGCCCCACTGTTTAGCCAGTGATACCGTGGTGTTCACTAGAGGCGGTCACCAGAAACTGGCTATATGGCCCGTCTGTTTAGCAAATGATACCGCGGTGGTCATTAGAGGCTTGCTATATGGCCCCTCTGCTTAATCAATGATACCGTTGTGGTCACTTGAGGATTGCTATATGACCCCTCTGTTTAACCACTGGTACCGTGACAGTCACTAGAGACTTGCCATAGGACCCCTTTGTTCAGCCAGTGATACCGCGGTAGTCACTAGAGGCTTTTTATATGACCCCTCTGTTCAGCCGATGCAGTCAAATTTAGGCTTTATAATATTTGTTACACTGCTATACTGAGTCTTACAAACCCTAGTAGAAGGTCGTGTCAGCGAACCTTTGAGCGTCCTATGACCGTCCAAGCAAACGCGAGACGGCCGAACAGATTTAACCAGTCAGCCAACGGCTACTATTTAGTGTCAGGCTGAACGTACAAAGCGGTTTTTGATTTTGCATTCACCATAGGCCCCACTGCGGGTCAGAAAATCGATAAACTAGGTCCCGGTTTATTATCCACACCCTACTATATAATATGTAAAGGTTCATCACAGAAATACGGTGACATGGTCGAAAACCGGACAATTTACGCACACGTCAATAAATATATCGTTTTTAAAAGGTCTCACAAGTATCAAAAGCTTTTGTCTATATCTCTGATGTGTGTAGGAGGCATATACACATGCTTCCCGTGGGGATGCATTTGTTGGTATTTATCAAATCGCCAAAGACCGAGGTGCTGTGCTTGAGTATTCAAAACTATGTCGTCAGCGCTTGACTTCAGTACCTCCGGCGATCTATTTGGCTAACACATTACACTGAATGTATGGATTGTTATGTGTTTCTTTCAAAAATATTTTTATTAGTTTTTAAAATAATTCTGACCAAGATAAAACATCAGACCGTGATATCGTGGATAAGGACGTTTGAGTTTCACTCTCATTTTCGCACGTGCATTTGTTGCCATTTTATTACCCAATTTGATTGCTCTGACGACCTAGTTTTGTATACTTCCGGCACAGCAACTCGGTCTTTGGCGATGTATATAGTAGGGGATGTGGATACTAAACCGGGCCTAGTTTATCGATGTTCTGACCCGCAGTGGGGACCTATGGTCTTCCCTGGTCGCTCATACTGATCTCTCAACAAACGAAAATCCACAGATTATTTGACCTGTAGTATATACGCTTAGGGTTACTATTAGCTTATGTCTCCGCCAGATGTCATCCTGGAATATTGACAAAAACACTATTTTTAGCAACAGTTGTGAATAATGGTGTCCTCCATAAGTATCACTCGGAAGCGATGGTCAGATCAAAATGTGAGCTGACGCGACCCTCCACAAGGTTTGGTAGATTCATTATAGTGTAACCAATAATACAGTGTAACAATAAGTTTACTAAGACTGCAGCCGATGGTATCGTGACGGCCACGGGAAGTACGTTGGGCCTTGTATTGATCCAGTGGTGCCAAGGTAGCCACGGAGAGTTTGTTATTGTTACATCTGCATAGCCATTGAGTCCATGAGAGTGACCAAAAGTTTGTTACGGGGTCCTCTGTATAGCCAGTTATGAATGGAATGGATCATCTGTAACATTTATCCTATCCTTTCTTCTTTGACAACACTCCCGTGAAGATCACTCACTCACTCGGTGCATATTCAGAAACAACTAGGTACTCTTTAGATACTCACCTGTTATAGATCCTTAACAAATAGCAAATCAAGCAAAGATTTGAAAATCCACAGGTACGAGGTTCATTACTATAACCTTTGAAGGAGGACAGATACCTACCATGTTTATCACAGCGTTGCCCATGCCAGTTGTATAGACATGGGGTATTTTTAGGTCATCTTATCAATGTCGGCTTCAGAGTGAGGACTGACATGGTAGATTGCCATCAAAGATTCGCGGTTCAGCCATACCTAGGGAAAATGTAAATTGAATTAGCTGGTTTGCAATATCCCTGGTTTCCAGAACATGTCATTTCAGTCATGACATATTATCTCAGAATTAATTGTCGGTACAGCTTCTGCAAAGTGACAATATCATAGTAATCTGTCTTGATGTTTTGGAGCTGCTGTTTAGAGGTCCCCAGTTGACTGACAAGGAGACTCGTAAACTATTATCTGCTCCAGAATTAGGACATAGAGGGACCCGATCTGCTGGAGAATGATGCCGTTGACGTATAAACCTGCAATGGCACAGTGTCCGACCACTCTGATAACATTTGGAGCTTCTCACCTGGACAATGAGTGCTAAGAGCTTAAGTGACATCGGCAACATTTCAGTTATATCGTTACTAAAAAACAAGTTATAATTTATAATTAAATTACCTGTCAGGAAAGGACGGCAAAACCAACTAAAATCTAAATTAGTTTAATTACAGAAGACAATCAAATATAAAAAAACAGTCTATATATTGCCAACAACTGAAAGTTGATCATCACACTAGGGAGCATTTGCTTTCTGCATGGATCCTAGCTGGAATTACACCACCCTTTCTGCTATTAGCAATTTTAGACAATCTAGCCATACATTAAGAAAACATACATATTACGATTAAAGATTGTGGTTGCTTTAAATTTACTTGGAATGTTTATGGACTTACGTTCATTCTCAGACTAACTTGGAAATACCCTGCACATAAGAGGCGGTGGGATAGCCTAGTGGTTAAAGCGTTCGACTGTCACGGTTCGATTCCCCACATGGCTGCAAGTATGTCCTGGTGTCCAGCGCCGTGGCATTGCTCAGATATAACGGTAGCGTTAAACCACGTTCATTCACCACCTTATATATTTTGTTCTAAAGTTGTCACAAGGCTCAGTGTATTTGTTTACAATGGGCAATAAAACAAAATGGAAGAGGAACAGGTTTCAATGTAAGACAACATTACATTTGACCTATACGTAATCTGAAATGCTGACAAAGGTATTTTGGGCCAGGTATTCTGCGACCTGCCTTTGTCATGGTCAGCAGGCTATATTAATGCTTTCCATAACGCAGGTAATTCGCTCAACCCTTCTTCAACATTACTACTTGATAATGAGTGCGAAACTGACTCTTGATGCATCAGATAGGTCTTATGGTATTGATAAAGTTTTGTGGCGTGTTTCTGGTCACCAGGATGAGAACGGGTTATCAGATTCTTTACTGATAACCCCTGATAGACGTTTTTGGCCACTTCACTTTCAGCGGTTGGTATCTTGTGTTGCAAAATCCTTTCAGTACCTAAAAATGCCAGAGAAACAAAATATGTTCCTCCGGTTTTAAGAAAACATGATCGTCCTGGCATGCTGTTTCTTCTTGACAAAAAGGCCAACGTCTGGTAAGAACTGGTCTTCAGCAGCCCATGTCCGTCGTAAGAGACGATATCGGGTGGTCATTCCAGTGATCTCGTTCAGGCATATCATCGCACCCCAACTGCGTAGATTGATGAACTTTGTGTCAGACAGTGAATTTGCAGATCCATAAGGTCAGCTATTTATTAATAGGCTGGCGTCACACAGCCAAAAGTATTACTTAGTAAACCACAATCAATTAATTGGTGTGATGGTATACTTACAATTCTTACATCAAAACAAGCGTTCATCCGTCTGTCTTTACCAGCTTCTTTATCACAACACGTGGTGACTGTACACTGTTCCTTGAGGCTGCACTGGACAGCACATTGTAGCAAGGCACGTCCCAGTTCCTTGCTGAGACACACATGGTACATTAGGAATAAGAGTGTACAAAACAGAGGCAGTCGGAAAAGCAACATTCTTCCTGCTACCTTGCACCAAGACAAATAATATGAACGTTAGAAGATAAAATGTGAAACCTAAAAGTTTAATAAATAAAATACATTATCTTTATTCAGGCGTGTTTTATCAAATCGATTATCATCTGCTGAGGTATGAATATGAATGGCACATATTTTGATATGACATTTAACAAAACTGCTCATTTACCGCCTCGTGACACTACAGTCGGTCATCATATGACCTTCAATAAGGTAAATTAATAAATTTAAATAAAATATCAAATTTGTTTCTCTCAGATAACATCCATCAATTCCATATATTCCATTGTGTGTGAAACCACCAGGTATTCATTTGGTTTGGCTCAAATAATTTCTGGTCATATAAGAAATACACTTCATGCTGCCTGTTTGTGTTGGAACTATGTTCGTGGACTGGTTTAGGTGGTACAGGCAGTCCACGAACAAGGGACTATACCACCTAGACATACACGCAGTCCACGTAGGGACTATATACAGACATACACGCAGTCCACGAACAAGGGACTATACCACCTAGACATACACGCAGTCCACGAACAAGGGACTAGGGACTATACCAGTCCACGAACAAGGGACTATACCACATACATACACGCAGTCAACGAACAAGGGACTACACCACCTAGACATACACGCAGTCCACGAACAAGGGACTATTCCACCTAGACATACACACAGTCCACGAACAAGGGACTATACCACCTAGACATACACGCAGTCAACGAACAAGGGACTATACCACCTACACATACACGCAGTCAACGAACAAGGGACTATACCACCTAGACATACACGCAGTCCACTAACAAGGGACTATACCACCTAGACATACACGCAGTCCACGAACTTAGGGACTATACCACCTAGACATTCACGCAGTCCACGAACATAGGGACTATACCACCTAGACATACACGCAGTCCACGAACAAGGGACTATACCACCTAGACATTCACGCAGTCAACGAACAAGGGGACATACACGCAGTCAGTACCACCCACGAAAGGGACTATACCACCTAGAACATACACGCAGTCCACGAACATAGGGACTATACCACCTAAACATACGCAGTCACGAACAAGGGACTATACCACCTAGACATACACGCAGTCCACGAACAAGGGCAGTCCACGCAGACTATACCACCTAGACATACACGCAACGAACAAGGGACTATACCACCTAGACATACACGCAGTCCACGAACAGTGGACTATACCACCTAGACATACACGCAGTCCACGAACAAGGGACTACACCACCTAGACATACACGCAGTCCACGAACAAGGGATTATACCACCTAGACATACACGCAGTCCACGAACAAGGGACTATACCACCTAAATATGCACGCGGTCCACGAACATAGGGACTAAACCATCTAGACATACACGTAGTCCACGAACAAGGGACTATACCACCTAAACATAAACTCAGACCAAGAACAAGGGACTATACCACCTAGACATAGACGCAGTCCACTAACAAGGGACTATACCTCCTAGACATACACGCAGTCCACGAACAAGGGACTATACCACCTAGACATTGACGCAGTCCACGAACATAGGGACTACACCACCTAGACATACACGCAGTAAACGAACAAGGGACTATACCACCTAGACATTCACGCAGTCCACGAACAAGGGACTATACCACCTAAACATAAACTCAGTCCAAGAACTAGGGACTATACCACCTAGACATACACGCAGTCCACGAACAAGGGACTATACCACCTAGATCAACGAACAAGGGACTATACCACCTAGACATACACGCAGTCAACGAACAAGGGACTATACCACCTAGACATACACGCAGTCCACGAACAGTGGACTATACCACCTAGACATACACGCAGTCCATGAACAAGGGACTACACCACCTAGACATACACGGAGTCCACGAACAAGGGATTATACCACTTAGACATACACGCAGTCCACGAACAAGGGACTATACCACCTAGACATACACGCAGTCAACAAACTTAGGGACTATACCACCTAGACATACACGCAGTCCACGAACAAGGGACTATACCACCTAGACATTCACGCAGTCCACGAACATAGGGACTATACCACCTAAACATAAACTCAGTCCAAGAACAAGGGACTATACCACCTAGACATACACGCAGTCCACGAACAAGGGACTATACCACCTAGATATACACGCAGTTCACGAACTTAGGAACTATACCACCTAGACATAGACGCAGTCCACGAACAAGGGACTATTCCACGTAATCATACACGCAGTCCACGAACTTACGGACTATACCGACTAGACATAGACGCAGTCCACGAACATAGGGACTATATCACCTAGACATACACGTAGTCCACGAACATAGGGACTTTACCACCTAGACATACACGCAGTCCACGAACTTAGGGACTATAGCGCCTAGACATACACGGAGTCCACGAACAAGGAACTATTCCACCTAGACATACACGCAGTCAACGAACAAGGGACTATACCACCTACACATACACGCAGTCCACGAACATAGGGACTATACCACCTAAATATGCACGCAGTCCACGAACATAGGGACTATACCATCTAGACATACACGTAGTCCACGAACAAGGGACTATACCACCTAGACATACACGCAGTCCACTAACAAGGGACTATAGCACCTAGACATACACGCAGTCCACGAACATGGGACTATACCACCTAGACATTCACGCAGTCCACGAACATAGGGACTACACCACCTAGACATACACGCAGTCCACGAACAAGGGACTATACCACCTAGACATTCACGCAACCCACGAACATAGGGACTATACCACCTAAACATACACGCAGTCCACGAACATGGGACTATACCACCTAGACATTCACGCAGTCCACGAACATAGGGACTACACCACCTAGACATACACGCAGTCCACGAACAAGGGACTATACCACCTACACATACACGCAGTCCACGAACAAGGGACTATACCACCTAGACATACACGCAGTTCACGAACAGTGGACTATACCACCTAGACATACACGCAGTCCACGAACAAGGGACTACACCACCTAGACATACACGCAGTCCACGAACAAGGGATTTTACCACTTAGACATACACGCAATCCACGAACAAGGGACTATACCACCTAGACATACACGCAGTCCACGAACATAGGGACTATACCACCTAGACATACACGCAGTCCACGAACATAGGGACTATACCGCCTAGACATACACGCAGTCCACGAACAAGGGACTATTCCACGTAGACATACACGCAGTCCACGAACTTAGGGACTATACCACCTAGACATAGACGCAGTCCACGAACAAGGGACTATTCCACGTAGACATACACGCAGTCCACGAACTTACGGACTATACCGACTAGACATAGACGCAGTCCACGAACATAGGGACTATACCACCTAGACATATACGCAGTCCACGAACTTAGGGACTATAGCGCCTAGACATACACGCAGTCCACGAACAAGGGACTATTCCACGTAGACATACACGCAGTCCACGAACTTAGGGACTATACCACCTAGACATACACGCAGTCCACGAACAGTCCACGAACAAGGGACTAGGGACATACACGCAGTCCACGAACTTAGGGACTATAGCCCCTAGACATACACGCAGTCCACGAACAAGGGACTATTCCACGTAGACATACACGCAGTCCACGAACTTAGGGACTATACCACCTAGACATAGACGCAGTCCACGAACATAGGGACTATACCACCTAGACATACACGCAGACCACGAACAAAGGGACTATACCACCTACACATACACGCAGTCCACGAACATAGGGACTATACCACCTAGACATACACGCAGTCCACGAACATAGGGACTATAACAGCTAGACATACACGCAGTCCACGAACATAGGGACTATACCACCTACACATACACGCAGTCCACGAACATAGGGACTATACCACCTACACATACACGCAGTCCACGAACTTAGGGACTATAGCGCCTAGACATACACGCAGTCCACGAACATAGGGACTATACCACCTAGACATACACGCTTAATGTTAATGTATTGAGTATATGTATAGTCTCTTGTTCGTGTAATATGTGTATGTATAGTCTCTTGTTCATGTATTGGGTGTATGTATAGTCTCTTGTTAATGTATTGGGTGTATGTATAGTCTCTTGTTCGTGTATTGAATGTATGTATAGTCTCTTGCTAATGTATTGGGTGCATGTATAGTCTCTTCTTCGTGTATTGGATATATGTATAGTCTCTTGTGAATGTATTGGGTGTATGTATAGTCGCCTTGTTCGTGTATTGGGTGTATGTATAGTCTCTTGTTCGTGTAATATGCGTATGTATAGTGTCTTGATAATGTATTGGGTGCATGTATAGTCTCTTGTTCGTGTGTCTCTTGTTCATGTATTGGATGTATGTATTGTCTCTTGTTCATGTATTGGGTGTATGTATAGCCTCTTGTTGATTTATTGGGTGTATGTATAGTCTCTTGTTCGTGTACTGGTTTTATGTGTGGTCTCTTGTTAGTGTATTGGGTGTATGGAAAGGTCATCTTCACACAAATGTCCAGGTGGTGTGCTCATGCATTGTGTTTGCATGCATAGGTATGTGTAGGTCGTGCGTTCATGCACTGGATGTATCCAGAGTCCGTATGTTCTGGCAATGTATGTATTGGAGCTGTGTTGGTGGACTGAGCATATGTATAGGAACTGTATTCGTGGAGTTGGTGTATGAGGATCATGTCTCAAATTGCTGAAAAGCATCTGGAAATATTCTGCATTTGAACAGCTACGTTTTGGTGTAAAGTTTTGTAAGGAATTCATCAATTTTCACTAAGTTTTATCATTTATTGAACCCATGGCAATTCTCTTTTCAACGTTAAGAATTTGTTTTACAACATATCTGTTCCTGTGTAAACGGTACCATTAAACAGTATGGA